AAATTAGCCAGATATACTGAGCTTAAGTACCCTAAAGTCTGCGTTGAAATGACCCTCTGTTTTTCCCATAAAATACAAAGATTATATAGGGAAATACAACTGGTCAGTTTTGACCGCTTTACGAAGTTTTCCCAGATATGCCGAGTTTTTTGTGACACCCCTAGGTGTTCTTCTACCACCTCACAAAATATCAAGGGGGGTCGTCGGAGGAAATTTTTTTTCGTAATAGAGCTCATATAAAGAGAATTTCACTCGCGGTCACTTTTTAGCCCTCGTCGAGGGCTTTGAGTGTAACCGACAGTTTTCCCTAAAGGTCAATCCATTGACCTAGGAGCATGCAAAAAAATTAGTCTGATATACTGAGATTAAGTACCCTAAAGTCTGCGTTGAAAAGACCCTCTGTTTTTCCCATAAAATACAAAGATTATATAGGGAAATACAACTGGTCAGTTTTGACCCCCTTACGAAGTTTTCCCAGATATGCCGAGTTTTTTGTGACACCCCAAGGTGTTCTCCTACCACCTTACAAAATTTCAAGGGGGGTCGTCGGAGGAATTGTTTTTTCGTAATAGAGCTCATATAAAGAGAATTTCACTCGCGGTCACGTTTTAGCCCTCGTCGAGGGCTTTGAGTGTAACCGACAGTTTTCCCTAAAGGTCAAGCCATTTACCTGTAAGCATGCCAAAACTGAGCCAGATGTAAAGAGGGTAAGTGCCATAAAATCCGTTTTGAAATGACCCTCTGTTTTCCCCATAAAATACAAAGATTATATAGGGAAATACGACTGGTCAGTTTTGACCCATTTCCCGATTTTTCCCGGACATGGCGAGTTTTTTGTGACACCCCAAGGCGTTCTCCTACCACCTCACAAAATATCAAGGGGGGTCGTCGGAGGAATTTTTTTTTCGTAATAGAGCTCATATAAAGAGAATTTCACTCGCGGTCACTTTTTAGCCCTCGTCGAGGGCTTTGAGTGTAACCGACAGTTTTCCCTAAAGGTCAATCCATTGACCTAGGAGCATGCAAAAAATTAGCCAGATATACTGAGTTTAAGTAGCCTAAAGTCTGCGTTGAAATGACCCTCTGTTTTTCCCATAAAATACAAAGATTATATAGGGAAATACAACTGGTCAGTTTTGACCCCTTTACGAAGTTTTCCTAGATATGCCGAGTTTTTTGTGACACCCCAAGGTGTTCTCCTACCACCTCACAAAATTTCAAGGGGGGTCGTCGGAGGAAATATTTTTTCGTAATAGAGCTCATATAAAGAGAATTTCACTCGCGGTCACTTTTTAGCCCTAGTCGAGGGCTTTGAGTGTAACCGACAGTTTTCCCTAAAGGTCAAGCCATTGACCTAGGAGCATGCAAAAAATTAGCCAGATATACTGAGCTTAAGTACCCTAAAGTCTGCGTTGAAATGACCCTCTGTTTTTCCCATAAAATACAAAGATTATATAGGGAAATACAACTGGTCAGTTTTGACCGCTTTACGAAGTTTTCCCAGATATGCCGAGTTTTTTGTGACACCCCAAGGTGTTCTCCTACCACCTCACAAAATTTCAAGGGGGGTCGTCGGAGGAATTTTTTTTTCGTAATATAGCCCATATAAGGCGCCGGTCAGTCGAGGTCAGTTTTGACCCCCTCTCCGTAGACTTTTTGCCGAACCGTCACCGGCCCTCGTGTTCTATCGCCATAAGGCACCTTCGTGCCAAATTTGACGCGCCTGCGGCGCCGGGAAGTGCCCTATCGGGCACCCGACCACTTTGCTTTATATATATAGATTCTTTAATAAGTTTCATTTGAATAGTTATTAAGGGAAACACTTTTTTTTTTAATTTACTTAGATCTAGTACAAAAATGTTTAAATGAGATTTACGGGCATCCATATTAGGCTATTTAAAGAAGGGCGAATAGTCATCAAAATCGTATCACCGTTTGCTATATTTAATAACTACAGCTCATGTTGTTTTTTTTAAATATATTTCTACGCAACGGTGTATGTTTGTGTTACTGTATTGTAGAACAATGACTGCTGTAGTAGACCTGTTTGATTTTTACAAAACACTATCAAGTTGCAAGACAAAGAAAAAAACTCTTTTTGGTCGGAATAGGGCACCCTAAACTCCTTCCCCCCCCCCCCCCCCCCCCCCCCAACTCAGTGCGGTGTATGGAGGCATGGTAGTTCCGCCCCTGCAAAGATACGAATCACTTCGTAAAGGACCAGAATATAAATAGCAACAGGATATGTCTCACCGCCCTTCCTCCCCACGCCCCACTTACTTTCCACCTTATCGCCTTAAAGTGCATGTTTTAAATTTGTATTTTCGCATTAAATACTGAATGAACATTTATTCTTTGTCACATATCTTAACATTACTCACCCCCCTCCCCCTATTTCAACAAGCTCTTGGTCAACACCCCCCCCCTCCCAATCCAAAATTTACAAGTACGTATTAGGTGCTTTAAATAATATATTAATGCTATAGCATTTTATACTTATTCCCAACCATAAAATATTCTACTTTCAAGCAAATCACGGAATTTAACATTATATTCAAAACGTTTTTAATCTTTACTTCGTAATTAGACTTACACGTTAAAACAATTTTATTCAAAAGTTAATTTGTTTTATTGCATTCAATAATACATTAGTGTTTACATTTTTAATACTGTTCAGTCAATCAGTTTGATGTTAAACATTTTAATAATATAAAGAACATTCTTACCTGCCTATTTTTATGGAATATATTCGTCAATGGATTACAATATCTATACGTAGATTAATATCTGCGGACTAATATTGTAACAACTGAAAATATTTGAGAAAGTTGTCGATGTACGGTTTAGTAACTCATAAACCACTCATATTATGTTTGCTTATTGTGAGGTAAAGGGTGGAAGTGGGGTGGAGTTGTGAATGAAACGTGCACAATGGAGACAGAAAGCTGATGTAGGCCTACATTAATTATTTTTGCCAAAGACGATTTTATAAGGCGATTTGTTGCTTATGTAAGAGAGGTAACGCTATGTAAACAAGTTAATAAAAAGTTTTTTATTTAGTTGTGAAAGATTATATAAATATATAAAAAAAATTGTATATTATTAGTACTATTTTATTTGTTACATTTTTATAAAATTAACATACTGCTTTATCAGAATAAATATAAGTTTTGTAATTATATTAGAAATCCTTAAACATTATTTTCCAATGAATTTTGAGCACACAATTATCGCTACAACATAGTCTCGAAGTTCAACCGACTGTGTAGAAACATTTCATAGTTTTACTTTCTCAACCGGACTGGCGGATTTTTCAAGGTAGCGTGACCTCTTTGCCAAGGGTCAATTTTATGTCATGGAAAGTTTTGGAATGATGGATCAGTATGTGTACTGCAGAGACACTTCTCCCAAGGTCGTTTCTATTTCTGTCCATGGGCGGCTGCAATGTGAACTTTTGACGCCTCAGCTAAGGACAAAGCACAGTAAACTAAGCAGTCAAGAGAAACCTAGTTTGCACACCTTATTTTAGTCTAGTTCTTATGCCATTTTATTTTCTCCATTTGATTATTATATATGCAATTGATGTTCATGTCTTTGATGCTGTGTAAAATCTATAAAATAAATTATTATTACTGATTTAAATGTTTAAAACAATTGAATTAATAAAACAAAACAAAAATAAAAAGGAAAAAAAAAACTAATTGAGGACTGTATAGATATAGATGTTTGAAAGGGAAGAGTGTTTGCTTTTACGTGTCTCATTGTAATAACATAACTTTTCCGATTACTTAAAATTTGTATCATTTTAATTCTCTGTAATCCCAAATTCATTTCAGCTCTACTATAAAAAAAACAAATTCCCCCTCTCCCCCCACCCCCACCCCCTCGTCCCCTCAGCCCACCACGCCGAGAAAAAAAAATCCCTTGAATCATCATTTAATTTTTATTACACATTTGCATTTTCAGTTTCAGGTTGGTTTTTAATTTTTAATTTAACTTTATATTTAGACGTTTTGTATTACATCTATGTATATGTAAACCATCTTAAATGAATGAAAGCAAGCTACAAGTAAGAAAGAAATATTACTATTGTAATATATTGTAATATATTGTATTACTATTTCGTTTTCATTTGATGTTCGAAATTATGTAAGAATTTGATGTTGATGTACTTGTTTTAAATTGCAAATAAAAGTATTTAAAAAAAAAAAAAAAAAAAAAAAGGAGGTTACAAGTAAGAAAAAATTCCTACTATTGAAGCTCAGTATAATCTGTGTCATCACCAGACGATTATGAAAACTGCAATACTAAAGCGAACACGCAAGGCAAACCGACGCTGTGAATTACATGTCTGAGGTGACAAAAAAATTGTGCTCTCTTATCAAATAATTTTTCCGATGAAAGCGTGTTTTTATCAAAAGAAAAAGACAACGGCATCCACTACGAGTTAAAATTTATTTTTAAATTAATCACATTAGACAACCTTTTGTGGGACCCACTAATCGGTCCGTACCGCCCCACCCCCACCCCGCATTACGGGGTATGGCGGTATAATAATTCCGCCCCTGAACATCATATGAAATGAGGATTTAAATAGAAGAACGCCCATTCAACAGTAACTATAAGACACTGACAATGAGAATGGGAGAGCCATGTGCTAAGAATGAGATATACATATTGGCCAGAATGACTCACAGATGGAAACCCCAGCGCTAGAGCAAAATTTAGGATGGCCAAAAGAAACACGTAGAAGATCAATGGAGAAAGAGTTGAAGGAAAAAGGCCTACCATACCAACAGTCAGAATTTGTTTTTGTTGAAACAGGATGAAATGACGAAATATCGTTCGCCAATAGGCGTTGAGAGATGCTGCTGATTCTGATGAAATTCAGCGGCTAGTCATTAATAGTTTAGTGTGAAACGCAGAGTGTAGTAATTAATCTCCAACTGGCTTTAATGCGACACGTGCGCTAGCTGTGCTATAAATAAACCTACAGCTCA